TGGTCAACTTAGTGATGACAGACAAAGATAAATATCATAGCATGCCAAAGATGAAACCCATTTCAAGCCGGTTTAGTGTCTTATTTATGTGGCATCCACTATCTTGGACCAAGTCCAGTTCATGCCAAACCCAGACCATGCCTTCCTGCCGCCCTGCGCAAACAGCAAAGGCAGGAACTGAAAGCCTCAGGATTAAACACCAAACATGCTGATGATATACATGTATCTGTACCCTATTCATCGTTGCAAAAGTCATAATACCGCAAGAAACTCAAATATTGTAATTAAATATTTCAATTGTCTCTCCCTTAACAAGTGTATTTTAAACATGAAGCTTACCTTGTAACAAAGAACTCTTTACTTATCAATATGTCAATTGGTATTTCTCTAAGAGAAATATATTATTAAGAAGTATATATTTCTTACTAAGAAATATATAACTTATATGTCTTACATTTCTCTTATAAGAGAAATTTCTTATTAAGAAATATATATCTATCATGTTGATATAGGTGTAAGTATAGACATACCAAAATATATAAATGCATCATGGTTATAATAATAGCTTTACTACTCACAGGATACATCATACTCCAATGAGGTACATTTTCATTATTAATTGTATAATTAAATATACAAATAAGTACAAGATATGAATGTTACATTAGAAAAAGAATGTTTTATGACAAAAGTAAAATTAAATAGGAAATACCATGTATGAATTATATGTGTAGGTATTCTAGAGTGGAGGGAGGAAGTTCAAGATAGGATCTAAGAGGAAAAGTTCTGGTTTGTGCTAAGCAAGACAGAGAGGAGTAACAGAGGGGCCAGCCAGGTGGACTGAAAAATGGAAGGGCGAGCTCCTGGGCTTTGATGGTATTCTGCTTCAGTTCTGCTACCAATCACTACCCAGAAAAGACCTCAGTAGTCAAATGGAAAGCAATCCTCAGTTTATTCCCTCCAGAAAAGCAGAAGAATACCAGGAAAGGGGAAAAGATATATAAAGATCAACAACCCATCCCCCCCTTTTAATCACTCATTTCTTGATTAATTTCAAGGAAGTAAGTGATACTTACCTTCTCAGAAGGTCTCACCAATATATATTAAATGCTTTTTACTTATGTGCTCCAGGGAGTAAGGTCAACTTGAGGTTTCTTTTTCTTTTTCACTAAAAATAAGAAATAGAGTTTTACTTAAAGATTTCGATTGTGCTGTGAATGCTGCAGAAGGCAACCACCAACCAAATTGAAATTACACAAAAATAACAAAAACTGAGGCTCCGAAATTGCATTCCTAGCAGCCAATTATTATAATTATTCTTAGTTTCAAAGGCCATTGTTTCAGGAATCAAAGAAGTAATCATATCCAAAGTAGCTTCTAAGAGACAAATGGGAATGAGCAGCAGAGTGCAGTGCTAAGGGGTGGCAACAGTCTGGAAACTAGGAGCAGAACACACTCCTGACTTTATTGTCCATGAAATACTTGGTTTGCTCAGCTTGGTCCATCAATGCCCCATTTAGCAACATCCTGGACTCATTAATCCCTCTGATTTATAATTATCCAGTGTGAGGCTGCTCTTTGAAAACTAATTTTTTGGTTCTTACCACAATTTATTCCCTTTTATAATTCCCTTGAATTTATTGGGGTGACATTGGTTAATAAAATGATATACATTTCAGGTGTATACACAATTCTATAATATATAATCTGTATATTGTATTGTGTGTTCACCACCCTACATCAAGTCAAGTCTCTCCCACCAACATGATTTATAACTGCTTTACCTTCTTCTAAGTTCCCCAACCCCTTTCCTTCTGGTAATCACCATACTGTTGTCTGTGTCTGTGAGTTCTTATTGTTGTTTTGCCTAATCCCTTCACCCTTTTCACCCAGCCCTGCAACCATCCTTCCCCATGACAGCTGTCAGCCTGCTCCCTATCTATGAGTCTATTTCTGTTTTGCTTGTTAGTTCATTCTCTTCCTTAGATTTCACTTATGAGTGAAATCACATGGTTTATCTTTCTCTGGCTGGTTTATTTCACTCAGCATAATGCTCTCCAGGTCCATCCATGCTGTCACAGAGTAAAAATTTCTTTCTTTTTTTTTTTTTTACAGCAGAGTAGTATTCCATTGTGCAAAAGTACCACAAATTTTTGGCCACTAATCTACTGATGGGCATTTGGGTTGCCCCCAAATCTTGCCTATTGTGACTAACTTTGCAATGAACACAGGTGTGCAAGTATGCTTTCAAAGTAGCATTTCAGATATATTCCCAGAAGTAGAATTGTTGGGTCATGAGGCAGTTCTATTTTTAATTTTTTTAGGAACCTCCATACTGTTTTTCCATAGTGACTGCACCAATCTTCATTCCCACCAACAGTGCAAAATGATTCCCCTTACTCCACATCCTTGCCAACACTTGTTATTTGTTCATTTCTTGTTGATAGCATACTGACACGTGTGAAGTGTTATCTCCTGTGGTTTTAATTTGCATTTCTCTGATGATTAATGACATTGAGCATCTCTTCATATATCTATTGGCCATCTGCATGTCCTTTTTGGAGAATTATCTAGTCAAGTAAGGTGGGATTTCTTTTATCTTGGAAGAATTAGGGGAAAATTTATGAAGGGGGTAGTTTAAGAACTGAAGCAAGAAAAGTAAATGGGACTGGGACATGCAAAATCAAAGAAGAATTTTGGATGGAAAATATATTATGAACAAAGTCAACAGCAATTTCAAATATCCTGAAGTCTCAACACTAACAACTCTCTTTCCAGATCACTTGTTCCAACAATCTACTGGGAAGTTCCCCCTCCTCTAGACAATTCAGATACCTTCTTATGTAACTTAAATTCTATCGTTTAGCATTATTTCCTTGCATGAACCTCTAATTCCCCTCATCCTCTTTATACTTTCTTGACAAAACCCCAACCATGGCTTAAGTTAAATCCTTTTTCCATTTTCCCTACCTATACCATGTAGAGGATCACAACAGGGTAAAAATACACAATGCACTTATTAAATTTAATATTCAAGTGTGCCCTTAGAGGGTCAGGCAATTATATTTTCTAGTCCATTTGCTTTCACACTCTTCTGACTTCATATTTCCTGTCTTCTCTAATATCCAATACTTCCTTCTAATCTTCCCTCTTAGTTAATTACCTCACTTCCAACTTTACCAAATAAAATTAAAGCTATCAAAAGAGGAACTCTACAAGCTCTCATTCCCAGAGACTCTTATTTACTGGCATTTGTACCATGTACTCTGCCTCCTTTCTTAACACAGAGAAACTCTATGTACTGCCATCTAAGGTTCCCTCCCATCAGTGTGCTGGATTCCACCCATCAACATTATGCCAGTAATTACTTCATCTCCATCTTTATCATCAAGGTTTCCCTCCTCCTTTGGCTTATTCCCAATGGCATAAATACATCCTGCTATTTGTTCTTACTTTTAAAAGTGAAATAAATAGAACGAAACCAAATTTTCTATGGTACCTGAATCATATCTCAGGAAAGCTGCTGGTTTTAAAAACCATTGAACTCACTACCTCTTCAGGTCTCTTCCTATTTCTCTGCTCCCCTTAATGGTGAAACTTTACGAAAGAGTTACTTGTGCTCATTGACTCTACTTTCTGACCTCTCATTATCTCATGAACTAATTCAACTCTCATTCAGTTTTCACTCCATCACTATGTTACACAAAATGTGCTCTTGTCACCGACACTGGTGATCTTCTTTTGTGAATCCAGTGGTGAGTTTTTAGTCCTTTTATTGACCTCTTAAAAACATTTAAACACAGTTGATCAATCCTGCCTTCTTGGTACACTTTGATTATTGCAAATTCCAGAGTTTTTGTTATTCATTTGCTGTTTTCCCTTATTCTCCTCTTGCTGATTTTTCCATCTCCTTCTTTTCTTAAATAATTTTTAGTTTTCAGTTACAGCTGACATATGACGTTGTATTAGTTCCAGGTGTATAACCCAGTGATTAGACATTTATACAACGTACAGAATGTTCCCCCTGATGCTTCCCCCTGGTATAGATACACATGTTGGAGTCAGTGCCCCTTCTTCCTCAAACCACTCCTAGGACTTTACTGCTGATTGCTCTTTTTTTTACCTTCTAAGATGTCAAAGTACCCACAATTGATAGTGTTATAATAGAAAAGTATTTTGCAAGGAAGTAAAACTATAAACTTAGCAAATGTTAAATATGGTTCTTAAAAGAAAAATCATTTTTCTAGGAGGCAGATTCAATTATTTCCCTCTGAAACTTCTCACTGGGTACCTTATTTTTACAAGTGATTTAAGTACTGTAACTCTTTGGTAATAGTATAACAATTGGATAAAATCATCTAATAATACCAAAATAGTTTAAAAGCATATTCATCAAAAAGAACAATAGTAAAATGTTTCCTTCTTGATTTAAAAGGATATGGCTTAAGTGTCAGTACATTTAATGATATTCTGTCAGAGGAAAGGTCAACAGTGGAAAGAACAATAGCACAAGTATGGGCAAGATAGTTTGTTTTTTCAATAACACTTGTACGAGAAGGAAATACAGAAAATGTTAAACAGTATCTATTTAGATTGTGGAACAAGAAGTTCCCTACTTTCACATATGTTATAACCTGAAATTACATTGGAAAATTGAGTGTCTGAAAAATTAGAAATTTTTTATGTAAGAAGTTTTATACCAAAAAAAGTAAGAATATAATTACATTTTCAGTAAACAATATTTAATGATGGATATAATCATTTAAACAAATAATAATTAAAATTAGATATATTCAAATAAATAATTTGCTATGGTAAATAACCACTTCCAATTTAACTTCTCAAAAAATCTGACTAGTTTTTAGTAGGCAGAAGAAACTGATAATGTTAAAACAGACTTACAGATAGTGATTGTATTAAAAAAACACAAGAAATTGTGTAAAGGTTGTCAGCATGATATTGTAGTTGCATCGACACTTACAGCCATAATATCAACTTACCTGAGTAAAATTTTAAGAGGTATTTGAACACTGGATTTCTTCTGATAAAGAAGCCTGTGGTGATCCATATTCTTGACCATAGCTTTATGTCTGTATCTTCTGTCCACACTTGTATTGTTGAAATGATTTTCTGTGCTCAATCTAAAGCCATATTTTAAAGAGAATTCTGTCACTTGTCCTGCACAATTACCAACATAGTTACTGTATCAGTTCCTTCTTTCCAACTTTATTCTTCTACTTCCCAACATTTATCGCCATTTTCCTATTTCCACTGTTCCTTCTTAGTTAGACATACTCTTCACCCGCTTCAGTCAGCCTTCTACTCTACAAACTGTTCTCTAAACTGTCACCACATATGGCTTCATTAACACATTCATTTGCTATATTCAGTCTACACAGATCCTTGTTTAATGGTCTATCCCTTTGATTTCACTATTTATCTCCTTCTTGAGACTATTTTCTTCAACCTACCCCTTTTATCTCTTATTACTGTGGACATTTTCCAGATACTCCTTTTTCTAATATACCTTCTTCATTAGCCATTTTACACTCTTCCTCTTTTAAAAACAGTAGTGTTATGGAATGAATTGTATCCCCTCAAAGATTCATAAGTTGAAGTCATAGATCCCAACACCTCACAATGTAACCATATTTAGAAACAGGTTTTTTAAAGGGAAAATTAAATTAAAATGAGGTTAAACTGCAATTCAGTATAACTTGTGCTCTTATGAGAAGAGGAGATATAAACATGGGGAAGACAATGTAAAGACAGAGGTCAAAGATGGCCATCTGCAGGCCAAGGAGAGAAGTCTAGAGCAGCTGCTTCCCTTACACTCCTCGGGAGGAACCAGCTCTGCCAACACCTTGATCATAGACATCTAGCCTCCAGAACTGTGAGAAAACACAGGGTGTCAAGGTTTTTGACATCCTGACACCTTGACATCAAGGTGTCAGGAGTTTGCTATAGCAACCCTTACCAAACTCATACAGATGACCTCTCAACAGATGGCTTACAAGTCTACCTCTGACCCCAAAATCTCTTCTGAGTCTTGAATCAGCTTCCACAGCTGCCTACTGAACGTCTCCATCTGTATGTTTTACAAGAAGCTTCAATATACATGTCAAAAATTAAAACTTTATCAACTATACTTCAATTCCTTGTACAACCAGAAGAATAACAACCAATTTAAAAACAAAGAGCAACCAGAACTGCCAGAAAATTGAACTGCATGGAAGTCCGACAACCAAGGAGTTAAAAGAAGATACATTCATCCAAACCAGTCAGAGGGATGGAGACAGGAAGCGGGGATGGAGAAGATCCACCACAAGGTGGCAGCTGGCAGACTGGGCAGTGCCACATTCACATGCAAATAAACTGGGAGGAACAACCGGAGAGCAAAAGAGACCATATAACCCAGGGTTCCAGTGTGGGGAAACAAAGCCTCAAAACCTCTGATGGTAAAAACTTATTGGGGTTGCGGTGGTGGGAGAAATTCCTAGTATCACAGAACGGTCCATTGGCGAGGCATACAGGATCTCAGAAAGCACCCACCCAGAAATCAGCACCAGGAAAGCACCTGAAAAGGCACAATCTACTGAAAAAGCACAAGCAAAGTGACTGAAAGCAGGGGAAAAGCTGAGGAAGTGTGCAAGCATCAATGTTCCCTTTCTGACCTATCGCCCCCACATATAGTACCATAACCACAGCAATGTGGGTTGCCCCACCCCAGTGAATACATTTGGCTCTGCCCCTTACACCATAACAGGTGCACTGAGACACAGAAATGTTGCTCAAATGAAAGAACAGATCAAAACTCCAGAAAAAGAATTAAGCAATGAGGAGATAGACAAACTATCTGGTGCAGATTTCAAAATACTGGCAATCAGGATGCTCACAGAAGTGTTTGAGTATGATCACAAAATAGAAAAGAAAATGAAGACTATGCAGAGTGAAACAAAGGGAAATGTACAGGGAACCAACAATGATGGAGAGGCAACCAGGACTCAAATCAATGATTTGGACCAGAAGGAAGAAGTAAACATTCCACTGAAACAGGATGAAGAAAAAAGAATTTAAAAAAATGAGGAGAGGCTTAGGAAATTTTGGGACAACTCTACATATTCCAACATCCAAATGACAGGGGTGCCAGAAGAAGAAGAGGAAGAACAAGAAGTTGAAAACTTATTTGAAAAAATAATGAAGGAAAACTTCCCCAATGTGAAGAAGAAAATAGACACGGAAGTCCAGGAAGCTTCCAAGAGAGTCCCAAAGAAATTGAATCCAAGGAGGAACACACCAAGAAAAATCATAATTAAATTACCCAAGATTAAAGATAAGGAGAAAATCTTAAAAGCAGCGAGAGAGAAAAGGAGGCAGTTACCTACAATGGAATTTCCATTAGATTATGAGCTGATTTCTCAAAAGAAACCTTACAGGCAAGAAGAGGCTGAAAAGAAGTATTCAAAGTCATGAAAGGTAAGGATCTACATCCAAGATTACTCCATACAGCAAAGCTATCATTTAGAATGGAAGGGCAGATAAAGTGCTTCCCAGATAAGCTCAAGTTAAAGGATTTCATCATCATGAGTCCCTTGTTATATGAAATGTTAAAGGGACTTATCTATGAAAAAGAAGATCAAAACTATAAACAGTAAAAGGACAACAAACTTAACAACTATCAACAACTGAACCTAAAAAACAAAAACAAACTAAGCAAACAATACATCAGGAACAGAATCCCAGAAATCAAGATTACATGGCAGGTTATCAGTAGGGATGAGGAGGGGGGAGAATGGGGAAAAGGTACAGGAAATAAGAAGCATAATTGGTAGGCACAAAATAGATAGGGGGAGGTTAAGAGTAGCATAGGAAACAGAGAAGCTAAAGAAATTATATGTATGACCCATGAATATGAACTAAGGCGGGGGGTGGGGAATACTAGTGGGAGGGGGTTTGCAGGGGCAAAGGGGGATAAAGGAGAGAAAAAAATAGGGCAACTGTAATAGCATGATCAATAAAATATACTAAAAAGATAAGATACTCATGATGTAAATTGAGAATAACTAGAATATAATAAAAAGTATAAATTATTAATAAAAAAGTTAAAATGTTATGAAAAAATAAATCATTATCTGCCACCAAACATACTACTGTTCTCTCCTTCCCAGTATGTCTCAATACTCAACAATCTAATCTTAAATTTTTAGAATTATTTTTCATGTATGGTCTTAATGGTAATGTTAAAGCTGAATGAAGTATTATGTGCTGATATTAACTAGAAATGACTTATTTCACTATCTATAAGCTATTATACCCTATTAAACCATATTCCCTATAAATATTTGACAGGCTGAGAAAAAAATAAAACTAGACCTGAAGAAATAAAAACAAAATTTAAGAAATGTTTTCAGGACAATTTTATTTCACTTAGTAGAAGTAAATTAGTGTGTGTAACTTTTAATGGAGATATACATGAATGAATATATAAAACATAAACACATACATTAAGAAGTCATTATAAAGCAAAAGCCCATTTAACCACCGACTAGGTCAAGAGATAGAATGTTTTCCAGCCTCCCAAACCCCCACCTGCCAGCTTCTCAACATAGTTCTTTCCTTCTTTAAAGAGATACTCTCTCGACATTTATAATCATTTCTTTGCTTCCTTTATAGTTTTACTGCCTATCTATGCATTCTTAAACAATCGAGTTTTAATTGTGCAAGAATGGAAGTATTCATATACATTCTTTTTGTTTTTGCTTTTATCACCCAATACTGTGTTTGTGGGAATCACTCAGGTCTTCTTTTTGATGTTCTCTATTTTCACTTAGGTTTGTCTATATGGATGTGGCTTTTAATTTATCCTGATTTAGATTCTGAGAGCTTCTTGTGTACACAGAGATTGGTATCTTTTGTCAACTCCAGGTTTTCTTAGCCACTCTCTGTTCAAACACACCTCTCCCTTACTTTCCCTCTTCGGACACTTCCCCCAGCCATACGTGAGACATTCTTGCTCCATCTACAAGATTCTTGGCTACTCAGTTTATACTTTCAATCCATTTTTCTAGTGATGCTGCATTCTGGAAAATCTGCATTAACATTTTTGTTCCCCTGTGTCTATATTTAAAGTTTCCTGTGCCCTGAAGAAGTTTCCAAGGCTGTTTTTATCTCAGGTTCTATGTTTCATGGTTCTAATATTTGGACTTTTAGCTGCTCTCCTTTTGCTCTGAGTTGATTCTGAAGCTTCTCTCTCATGTTGTCTTCTTTCTTGTAGGCTTTGTTTATTTGTACTATACACTGAGTGTTGTCTTCAAAAGCACTTATATTATTTGAGAGCTAGGATAAATGTGTATTTTTCCAGAGAAGATGTAGATTTTTTTCCTCCAGGCCCCTGAACACTACCAGTGGAACTACTTTCAATAATAAATCTCCTGGTGATTTTTAAAGCGTGATACATTTGGCCTATAAATCTACTATGATTTCAGAATTACAGTGCCTCCAATATTTTTATCCCCACCTTGCTATGCTCAGCACCAGCACAATTTTCCTTTGAGTGAGGAGAGGCAAAAATATGAGTGAGTTGGGTCTGGTTTACCTCTACTTTTGAGAGTATACCTCTTTGGGGTTACAGCTTTACTAGAGGAGTGACTCTTTAATTAAACTGCCCACACTGGGCAGGTCCTCATTTATGTCTTCTGCCCCATGTACACCGTAAGTCCTACAAAATTTCATCTGTTTCACCAGAAGCAACAAATATGTTTAAAGCAATTAGTTATATACACACGTATTTATTTCTTCAGCAATATATTGGGATTTTAAGGATCTATTATAGATGCTGCTCAGCTCCACCAAGAACTGAAGGGCACACCCTACTGGTTGCTGGGAAGGTTGTCACCTTAGCCAACAGCTCCCTCCCAGAGATGCCTTTGCTGAAAGTGTTGTCATGCACAAGATCATCCTGCTTTCTTCGGGCTTCCCAGGTATAAAGGCCTGGGCTCCTCACCCCAACCTAGGGCAACTCTGAGGGCCTTGGCAGCTTCGGAGTTTTTCATGACACAAGCAGTGGCCCTGTTATGTCTG